CAGGAAGGTGGTGATGGGGGGTTGATACAGGTGCATAGAGGCTCCAGGGGCCTAGAGGGTGTATAGGTCCTGGCACAGCAGAGGGGTGGCTGTGGCCCTCTGTGTACACACCAACTGGTAGCAGAGGAGTAGTCAGCAGCGCCCAGCTGGGGGAGAGGAGAGGACAGACAAGGCCTGAGAGCTGACAGAGAGTTACACAATATAGCCTGTCCCACATGGAAAAGTGACCAGTGTAGATGTTCAGGCTATAATTAACCAAAATGGAATTAATAAAAGGACGGATGAGACGTCTGTGAATTGAACAGGCTCAAAGGGCTTTGTAAAAAAAATCACTGTTGTCCTGACAAAAGGAAACAGAGTGGCTTTACAAAAAATTTTATAAGAAAAAATACAAAAATTATTCAGTACTGGGATTTTATTTTTAATACCAAAGGACTAAATAGCAACACTAGCGCCCCCATCAGGCTGTGATGTTAATTACACATCTGAGTACAAACAGTCGCTGGATAAAAAAATGCAGTAACAACTTTGCTCTTTTTATCCGTCTGTTGGACCTGAATGCTTTTTGTTTGGCATGGGGGCCGTGCCAGAGGACGATGCTAATTCATGTTAACATGACAACTACTGGATGTTGAGATGGGTCGCGTGTAAATGAACATTTACAGGTCTGTCTAACACAGGGATCACTGAGTGTGTAGCATACAGGTATATGTATTGTATGACTTACTGTTACAGTAATAAACTAGCATTTAACACTTTACCAAACTAATAGCAATAAAGTAAAAGTGTGTTTGAGCTGGCAAAGCAAGGCTGTAGCCCTGTTTGACCCCTGCCCAGTAGTAAGTGGAAAAAATTGGAGCCAGGAATTCAGTCAAGAGTTTCAGAGGCAGGACTCATCTTATGGGTATCATTTAATACAGTGAACAGTATATTTCATTGTCACTCTAAGTGCTGGACCGACAGTAATAGTGAAAGGAAACCTGTTTGTCTCATTCTAAGTGAAGGACCAGGACTCGGGTAGTTCACTTAATGAAGTCAACAGCATAGACAGATCAACATAAGATGTACACACAGAGAAACTATGCTCTGCAGGTGGTGCATAGAATGGCTGACAGGAGCCCTTGATGTACTCCCCAAACATCTTCTAATCTTCAAACCTATTGCGGCAACCTTTGATTCCATATAGAAGTTAACACTAAGCTCCAGACCAAGATGCAAAACAACTCTGATGAACAGCAAGTGAAGAAGTCATGTCTCAAGTACTCCTAAAATCTTATGTAACCATGTCAACCTATAGATCACATTTTGTTGGTTTAGGCAACAGTTAGACAGTGAATGTGCTGCGATGCAGTTGTATAGATCCTATCCAATCACTGTAGTTTTAAGCAATGAATTACAGATAAATATAACAAAAATGAAGTGTGCTAATTCTCTGTTTGTGCTCCTTTTACTCCACTAGAGATCAGACACTAAACACTCACCAGAGAAACACAAAAAGGTAATTTTATGCTAACAAAAAATTGGAAGACAACCGCTTGATGTGGCTAAATCAGACTGATGATGCCTCGTATCAGGTGGTATTCATTCAAGCATTCATTTTGGCACAGATCAAGGACTGTGGGTTGTGTCCCCATCACACTTGAGGATAGGTCAAAGAATGAATACAGCCACCAAAAACTTCAACTTACAGTACACACACAGTGATGTTTACTTTTTTGTTTTGAAATATTTGAAGACATAATAGAATTCATAATAATGTATACTAATTGATGTAAATGTAGCAGGAAAGATAGATGGACAGATGGATAGAATGGGTGAGAGTCAGTTTAGAGAAGGGTGACACTATGGTAATGGCCCATGATTTGTTAAATGAAGTAAACGATGCATTCAATCTCTAAAAACTGTTTCTAACAATGTAAGGAGCTTCCTAGTGTGTACTGTTCTTATTTCATGCCTGCACTAATTTAATACCTACTAATTAATACCATGTAGGAGGTTTTATGTTTGACAGTGGACCAAGCTTTAGTCTGAAATGAAACTGGAAACTGATTAAATGGGGCACTTTCTGTCCATTCAGCAGCCCAGTCAAACATGACTGGTGTGTGGTAACACTGGCTGAATATGTTTCAAACCCCTGAGGGGCTTTAGGGCGATTAGCATGCATCAGTCCTAAAAATGGGGGTGTGATTGGTGTAATGTGGACAGGATGGGTTGATAATGAGAGCAAGTAATGAGTTTTGGTGCTTTAACTTGCTTTAAAACTAATAAAGATCTCTGACCATGTTCATTACGACACATTTTCTACCTAATTAAGTTTGAATAAAGAATGACAGCCTACATCTTTGGCCAATTCTTTTTAGGTCTTTTTAGCTTTGTTGACCAGTCCATATTTTGTGTTTGTTTTTTGGTCCCAATGTAGGATTTTTACTGTGCCAAACACATTTTAGCAGCTCCTACACACATTTCTAACACTGGCTGTCCATAGTGGCCTCTAAGCCAGGGCTCTATCCAGACCTACAGGTTACTGAGTCTGAATCAAAGCACCAGACCCGCTATGTTTCTTTTCCTGTGTAGGGTGGAGGTTAAGTTTGTGCAGGCTTGGTGAGTGCAGTGAGGGGGGGCTTTCTCACACAAGATGGAGGAAGAAGGGACAAAGGTAGTATTCATTGGCCCAGGAATGAAAAACTTTTTCTCCTGAAAACACAGAAGCTATAACCGGCACAGGTAGTGCAGAGAGGCCACAGGTTAGCATGCAGTCCTCTTGAGACATGCAAAGGACACTACCAGAATGTAGTGAGGCCTTATTTATTTGGTAATAGAGATATCATCATGTCACCTCCTAGTGTCTGCTTGGGAAGTGATACTACACAGGCTTTAGGCATGAGAAAGGCAGAACTGGAATGTTTAGCATGTGTGCTTGTGGGTTATAATCAGGATCCTTGACTGTGTGTTATTCCTTGAAAGAAGCAGGAGGGAAAAAATCAAAAAGTTAGACAAAAGACTCAAAATTTCACTTGATTCCCTACTATTTTCCAAATGCTCCATCACAGTCAGTCATTAGTTTTACTCAGGAGTAAAAGTCATGGTGTTCAGCCATGAGACAGCAGCTAAAGACAGGAAGCCAGACTTCAAACTAAAAAAAAAAACACACAAATACTACAAGGGAAAAAGTGTGTTTGAAGCAGCAGGACACATCCTCTGGAGATGAAAGATCTCAGACACAACAAAACAACAGAGCTGCAGAGCAGAGACTGACCCGAGGACAAAGTCATTGGAGTGAGTGCGCCACCTAGAGGCGAAGGCAGTAAGGTTTGAGCATGTGAGTGAGGACACCCACCATGAGGTGTCGCCATCTGTGAACAGTAGAAAGAATCCTCTGGTGACACCCTGACTTCTCACCTAGTTCTCTTATTTACCAGACTGGGTTTGATCATTGCTACCACTCCATGTTTGTAATAAATCACTAATAACAGATTAAATGTAACTAATGACAGATAATTCCTGCTGTGACTCACCAAGTGAACGTCACACTGGAGCACATACATGTGGATCATGAAATATACTGTATATTGTTCCTCAAAACTAATAGTAAAAATTATTATTACTATTACTACTGTCATCATTATTAACATTATCATAAAAATAGCATTGTTATTCTTGGGAGAGGTAGTAGTATTTATTCTGCTACAACAAAGGTTTTGCAAAAGTAATCTACTTCAGTGTTGCAGAAGACAGAAACATTACATAATTATATATATATACACACATATAATTAAGGAAATATAAGGAAGTAGACAAAATTAACAGTAACACCAATATAATTCTAGGAACTGCTGAATTTCTGCTAACAGTCAACAAACCTGTTTGTTTATAGGCATACATTCACTGGTTCAAGGCCAGTTTATGTTAAATGATGCAAATCTGAAGGATAAAATTTGTTTCCTTCAAGTTTAAACTAAATATCAATATCGTCTATATCGTCACTGCAGTACTGTTTTTTTCAATGCAATATATTGGAAGTTTACACTCATACAGAAATGTTTTTGAAAGAAAAGGCCTTGGAGACTAAACTCCATGTAGTAATATTATTTCAGTATGAAAATGATTTTTCTCCCTTTAAACAAATAGCTGCAGTAGACCATATGTGGTTGGCTAAATGAAAAGCCAGTGTTGTGTCAAGGTCTGTCATCAGTTGACATGTTTCCCCATACTTTTAACCTGAACCTAACCTTATTCCAACCAGTGATCTTCTGACCCCCAAGCTTGTCCTGGGGTAAACACTATTCTAACAGGGTGGAACCACTGGGTGAGACCTGTTTGGCTCCAGTAGTGACTGGTTGTGACCCCACCTTCTGAACCAACATGCTGTCTGTTCCACAGCTCCACCCCCAAACAACTGCCTGTACTTGACCCAGTGAGATAGCAGCTGCTATTAAAGCTCTGAGGATCAAGGAGGAGTGGTCTCAAAAGTCGCTCTAAATCAACTACTAGAGGAGAAAAGCTTGTTTGAATCATTAATTATTGGGCATCACTTACTACAATGCATTGCCTGAGAAGCCTGAAGCCGACTAACCTGGGAAACTTGCAGCTGTTTAAAAATGCATTGGTCTCTGGCAGAGTTGGAGCTGACGTTATTTCGTCCAGGACACAGCAGCCTGTTCCCCTGCCCTGCTGGGCCGCAGCATCCCCCCACACCCACAGAGCCTTTCACCTCCACAGGGATGATGATGTGGACCAAGGATACTCCACGTCCACGTAGGTCACAGTATTATTATCATTATTCGGATTATTATCACAATATTATTCATTATTGTAGTGTATAATTTTCAAACAATATTCCCACATCACAACTGCTGTTGGATGCATCTAGTTGTCTGGTTGATGTGCCGTAAAATACCTAGCCTACAGCATCTGCAGAGACCAGCACTGTTATTAATTTAAAATAAAGGTTTCACATTTTGTGGGAGATATTTTTCACACAATTTTCACTAAAATTATCATTTGAAAATGCAGCCAGGAGAGTATCTTAGCTATTATAGCATAGGCCTCACTATGTGTGTAGATTACAATAAAAAGATACTACTGACGTAAACTCTTAGTGAAGTTTGTTTTTATTAGTTTACATAAATTAAAGATTTAAGAACACTGAATTCGCTGTTAGCGGTCCCTGTTTGCTATTTACCATTGGATGTCGTGACAGCTGGCACTGGATTACTTTGATACTGAAGAAAACTTTAAAAAGTAATTAACCTCAGAAGAGTTTCTGCACTGATAAGGTGTGACCCCTTTCTGACCTAAGTAGGTTTATATCTGGTTATGTGTGATGGTCACAGGAGATACAGTATATTTGGAAAAACTGAGTTATGAGTTATGGTTTTAAAGTGGCCAGCCCCGTGCATCATTGTTGCTTCTGCAACTGTTGATCATGTTTAAGAGGAGCAAACTACAATATCAAACTCTTCATGTAACACTGACATCAGCTGTAGATTTTCTGATTTAGTTGGTTAACAAACACACAAATAACAGAGCAGCATAAAACTTCTAATTTACTTTTGGTAAGAAAGTAGACAAACATATTCCACCCAAAATAATAAAGTACATTAGTCACAGGCTTACATTTTATAGCATGGAGCAGTTACAAGCACACACATCTACCTGTAGATTGCATTTGGCATTCCATTCTACTATTTTACACTTGTATTTTAAACATTTTTCAACTCTTGTTGAAAAATAATCATTTTATTAACATTAAAATTAACAAGAATAATAATATCTCAGAATATGTGTTTGTATATTTAAAGTGGTAGACACAAGCAGTAAAATGGTTAATGTCCAGAAAATGTATTGTATAGAAATTCTTTATTTGTATGATTGTATTTTGTGTACATGTAGTCATGACATAGAGATCATAGCTTCCCTCATTCACACATTTTATATAATAGCTGGACCATTTTTTGTACTGGCTATAGTACTGATATAAGCATCGATCCACTGCTCAAGGTTTTGAACTGACACATTGGACCCTGACCGTGTTAGAAGCTCATAATGTGTGTATGTTGTTTGTTTTGGCAGAGGCAGGTTAAGCTCCAACATGGAGGACCTACTTTTCTACACCATCACTGAGGGCAAAGAGATGATCTCCATCTCCCACTTTATCTCTGTGAGTCAACAGCACATTCACACTTCCTCTGTCACACCACACACTTTGTGTGTGAACATACAACTTACATTATTTTTCTTAAACACGCCATTGACACAGCAGCTCACAAAAGGGATCCAGAATGTCTCCAGATGGATGCAGTGTCAAGTTTAAAAGGCCTTTACTGTTTCTAGTGAAACATAAATAATTATAGTAAGTGTGATCACGGTATCTCGTACATAGTACCCTGGCATACTATAATAATCTGCTGATTATTTCCTTAATTAACTGATAGACATCATAATTTTTTGAAAAAGGTTCATCATAGCTTCTCAAATGCCACATTTACTCATGTGAATTGGTTCTTTGTCTGATCAACAGTCCAGAACCCAAAGATATTCAGTTTACCATCATAGAAGAGTAGGAAAACCAGCAAATTGTCATATTTGTGAAGATACAACCAGCAAATTTTGGCCAGGTTTGTTTATTAATAAGAAGCCTGCAGCCATGTGCAAATCAGATGACTCAAAAAACCTTTGGAGCCCCTATGGTCAGGAGGGTGTGCACATGGTGTCCTCAAAATAGATGAACATGGTTCATGCAGTGATTGTGGGAGGGACCCCAGTGATCTGGTTGAGGCCTGTATTTCCTCTTCAGTCTAGTAGGTTGACGCCCCATGAGCTTTGGGAATATGATATCCTGCTAACTGACATTACATAAACACTGCTGTGCATGACTCTGTTTTTGACTAAGTCCCTGTGACTTATGACTCCCTCCCTTCCTACCTATTGTATTAATCTACTAAAACTGACCTCATTTCTCTTCTCTCCAGGTGTTGAAAAAAACAGGTTTGTTGATGTCTGACCCTCGGCTACATGACTGTGTCAGTCAAATGCGACAATACACACGTGACTCGATCGGGCCGGTCATGATGGACAAGAAGCTCTTTAGAAGGTGAGAAAGGTTTAGTGGAAAGTATTCAGCTTTTAACTTTAAGAACACTTTTCTTAAATAAATTCTGGGTTTATATTGCTGCTGCATAACCAGTTTTACAGTATGTGGTGTTAATTTTAAATGTTCAAATCATTTTTTGTTTTTTAGTTTAGTTTTAGTTTAGTGAAAACTGCAGATTCATCTGAGGATGTTTCCAAAGACAGTCACAAGAAATAGAATGGGTGCAGAAGGTTACACACAAGGTTAGATTAGGGTTTTGTGGTTACGTAATTTAGGCTATATCTGTGGTCAGCACTATTTGAGTCCAATAAGTGACTGACAGAGAGTGTGTTTTATGGCTAACAGCTGCTACTAACCAAATTCTGACACATGCCAAGGGAAGGTGCAGGAAGACACATGGGGCTCTGGGGTTGTTAATGAAAGGGCATCATCCTGGTTGTGGTCCAGACGGTAGTATGCTCCATGTAGACTGCTGTCCAATACCCTAAATACCAAAAGGTCACTCAGGGTCATCTTCTGGCCTTAAATAGTAGAGGGTCACACAGTCTGATTATCTTCATCAAGCTAAACTCTCTGACTTTGTATGTTTGCTCATGGCTGAAGTTATCCATTCCTGACAAACACTCAGGAGCTCACTATAAATATGCTACTGGAAATAGAGTCAGCTATCATCAATTTTGGAAGTGACCCATATAAATTATGCAGGCTCTCTCCACTTTCACCCCGGGTGTCCTAAATTGTCACGCTAGGATCGCCTTGGATCACTGAGGCTGCAGGTCAGCTATTTTAGGTCAGGCCAGCTGCAAGAGAATGTGCATATCTTTCCTTGAAAGCATACACTACTGCTGACCACTTACAGCAATAACTGCTGTATAAGCAGGTGTGTTTGTTTACCCTATTAGCTGGGTGTTTACTATCCTTGTGCTCAGAATAGAAATTGATTAGTGTTTCATTTATATAAATATTTCTCAGGCAGAGCCTTTATCAGTAGGGGTTGAGTCAAAGAAGCAAAAATGAGAAGATGGAGCAGTAAGACCAGAGGCTCATATTATAAAACCTGGTGTTCTTGCTAACTGAAAATTGCTCTTGAGCCATAAAATTATAACTCAGTGTTATCTAGTTAACATAGCTGTTAGTTTATTTAGGTCAGATTAGCGTGCAACTATCTCTGTTAGCAAGTCTGCTAACTGTACAACTCTCTGAATGCTATGGTTGTTGAATTCCTGAATAAAATCAGTCTGTACTATTTATATCAGTAGATTATAATCAGATTTAGTCTTTGGCATTCACATGTGAATTAGAGCTAGTGCTTGAACTGTGGCTGTTTGGTTAACTTACTCCTGAACAGGCCACATTGTGCCCACATCAGACCAGATAAGATGAGGAAAATGAGAAAATATGCTTTTCTTTTTATTTTATCTATTAATTTGGATTAAACCATTGTTTATAAGAGTCTCAAAAAAGCTAATCCTCTGCCCCCAGTGCAGCTCTGAACCAGAGGAATCATAATTTACAAAGGTTTTCTGGCTCCTGCAGTTTCTTATAAATCATAAATCCAACACTAATTGGACTGTTTTATGTGTGTTATCATGACATCAGTTCAATCATGTGTCCTTTTGTAGTTGTGTAGGAAACAACATCATGCTGCTCACCAAGGCTTTCAGAAAAAAGTTTATCATTCCCGACTTTGAAGAGTTTGCCCAGCAGATTAATAAGCTGTATTACAGTGCACAGCAGCAGAAGGGAGGAATAGTAAGTGACACACATACCGATTCTGTGTTCTCTTATCCATTGTAGTCCACTCAAATCTCCATGTTTTTGCAGGTAGCTGATTACATTCCTCAGCTGGCTAAGTCCAGCCCTGATCTCTGGGGTGTATCTCTGTGCACAATCGATGGACAGAGGTACCATAACATCTTTACTTTAATGCACGTTTCCATTCTGAAATCCTCCATCATGTGTACCACCTCATTTAACAAACCTCCTTATTTGTTTGTTTTGATTTTGTTTTGGGTCTCCATTTAATCTCATGTGATACAGGCACTCTATAGGTGCCACCAAGGTTCCCTTCTGTCTGCAGTCATGTGTGAAACCCCTGGAGTATGCCATCGCTGTGCACGAGCTCAGCAGTGAGCACGTTCACCGCTTTGTGGGCAAAGAACCCAGTGGATTCAAGTTCAACAAACTGTCACTAAATGAGAAAGGTAGGTAATTAGTGTTATCAGCACCATTTATCATCTCTACACAAGAGAAGGCTGAAACGCTAAGTACCTAAGATAAATACTAACTTTGTAAATAGCAAAACTACCATAAAAACACCTCCCCTCATTTTGTTATTGAGAAAACATGTGGGCAATGTTGTGATGAAGTGCAAAAATAAGCCATCATGTCACAAGAAAATATTTTCCAGATGGACTTTTAGACAGACTGTGTGCCATTACCTCATATGGGACTGAACTGTATGTGTTCAGTTTAATAACTGATGCCACCCCCCATGAAATATGCCTTCTAATCTCAACAGTTTATTGCTCTTGTGGTTAGGGGCAAATCAGTGACAAACATGCTCTTGTGTCTTCTACAGATAAACCACACAACCCGATGGTGAATGCCGGAGCTATTGTTATCAGCTCTTTAATTAAGGTAAAAGCTTAAAGGTTGTCTGCACTGATGGAGATATGATAGTAGATGTTTTCTTAATTTTGAATATGCACACAAAACACATACACAGTTATTTGTCATCAATGAGGGTATCAGGGCAAGACAAAGAGTAGCATCTCAGAAAGCAGCCTTTCATGACGCACTGCCATTATTTGCTGTCTGAGTGTAAGCAGTGCTAGCAAATCGCTATTGTGAAATTTGCTCTGGTCCAGAAGGAAGCAGGGTCTGTGGTGCTTTCACATTTCTAAAAATGCTGTATTTCTTTGGTTTTGAAAATAACATATATTATGGTTTTGAGTTCACCGTTAGACTGGGTTCAAGTCAGACTGAATCTGTCGATTAGGTTGTATTAGTCACAATCAAAAATGGCAGAAAAAAAAACAATTTTTCTCAAATCTCTTTAAAAATAAATAAGCAAACTCCCTCCTGGAGTATGACATCAGCAACAGCTATCTCGTATTTAATTGCTCATCTATTGGCAGGTCACTCGATGCCCACAGCAGCTGGACTATGGTCATAAGCGTCTGACTGACCAGCTGTCAAACTTATCTGTGAGCTTTGGCCTTAGTGGAAAATGTGGGACATGGGTTTTGGCCATATATGGGTCTCTGCTAAGTTTTCCTGAAGTTTCACAGCTGACTACAGAGATACTTGGGTCCTCTTATCATATGTGGGTCAGTGAGGGAGGGACCCTCTGCGTGGAGCTGACAGCAGGGGGGTGTGTGTACTTCTAGCCAATTACAGCCCTGAGAACAGAAGGTGTGTTAGTCATGTTGCTCGTGCATGTGTGCAGAGAGGGGCAATCGTGTATGAAAGCAATGTGTATGCTATATTTACATCTTATATTATGCCCAGGACTTTATACACTTTAAGAGCTTCATATTTTATGCACAGAAGAAGATGAACTGCAAAGTCGATAAAAGCCACATGAATATTGTGTCTTTTATTGATTTGTGTAATATATATTCAACTCACAGTGATATTTAATATAACCATTACTCTTTATAGGTAGAGTAATTCAATTCATTGTGAATATGACTCCTGCTTGGCCTTCACACCTTGGTGATGATACATAAGCAGTATGTGAAATTTAAGCACAGCAGATCCCAGATCACAGGGAGCACATTTCCATGTGAACTCATAGGCCAGTCATACCCAGAAGGCCCACCTCAAATCCATAAAGTCTGTTGTATATTGTACATAACCTTACATATCTTACTGTAAATATCAATTGTACATATCTATCGGTAAATTAGTACTGACTGGACAAACTGTAGAGAGTGTGCACTACTGTTATTGCACTTCTGGTTGGATGCTAAACTGTATTTCGTTGCCTTGTACCTTTACACGTGTAATGACAATCAAGTTGAATCTAATCTAATCTAATCTCAGACTGGATGCACAACTATGCTTTAGTGTCAAGGTTTTCAAACACTACCATATGTAGGGAATGACTGGCTCTTTGCATACTTACACTGGCAACAGAAAATGACTTGTCCCCCCTCTGTTGACAGCCTCATTCAAATAAGGCAGAGAGGTTTGACTATGTAAGTAAATGCTTTTCATTTTCAAACTTATTTTTGATTCCCCTTGTTGGTCTGGTCTCCTAATGTTAATACAATGTTATTGTAGGTGATGGAGTTCTTGAAACGCATGGCTGGTGCAGAGTATGTGGGGTTCAGCAATGCAACGTGAGTACTGCACTTGGAAATGACTTGTTCTCTGACACACGGAATGTAGCTTTCTCATATGTGTCTGATTCTTGCAGTTTTCAGTCAGAGAGGGAGACTGGCGATAGAAATTTTGCAATTGGTTATTACCTCAAAGAGAAAAAGGTGAGCTCTTTTTGGTGGTTTGTGTTAAATTACAAGCACTTCAAGTACTTATTCAGTGCTCAGGTTTTCAGAAGAACCGAATAGCCTCAGTGTACACCGACTCTGATTGTAGGCTGTTGCCCTTGCAGTGCTTTCCTGGCAATGCAGATATGATTGGGGCCCTTGACTTCTACTTTCAGGTGAGTTGTTTGTCTTCCACAGTGTGTTATTTGGTTTGTGCAACTTTTAAGTAATATATTGACATCTGCAAAACACATTTATTTATGCATATCAAAAGTTAACTGAAAAGCCTGATAGACTGGTTGTTACAAAAATAAATCTGAATCTACAGTCAGTAGCCAGGTAGTTTAGCTCGGCCTATGCTTGCTCTGGTTGTTTGGCAACCGCACGGTGACAACAGGAAGTCGTTGCACCCAGCCATGAATCATAGCCATAAAACCACAGCTGCTTCATTTTACATGCTGGATTTTGGACAGATTGAAATATAACTTCTTACGTTTTCTGTCAAATGTGCACATCATCTGGCTGCACTCTGGGCCAGTCACTGCTCTGATGAAGTTTTAATGTTCACTGGAAATGTTTATGCTAAATGTATGCTTTTGTAATGTTTGTGCTTTATGCTACTCTACTCTACTTTCGGCTGTTCCCGTTAGGGGTTGGCACAGCAAATCCAATTCGCACGACTAAATTTGGCACGTTTTTACACCGGATGCCCTTCCTGACACAACCCTCTCTATTTATCCGGGCTTGGGACCGGCACAGAAGTCACTGACGAAACCCCCATGGCTAGATACACACTCACACCTGGGGGAATTTAGAGTCTCCAATCAACCTAAGCTGCATGTCTTTGGACTGTGGGAGGAAGCCGAAGTACCTAAGATATTCAGCTGCAGCTGTGGCTTCATATTTACTGTATAAATACAAGAGTGGTATCCATTTAATTATCTAACCCTCAGCAATGAAGCAAACAATTTTGTTTATTTCCCAGATGTCAAACTATTGCTTCAGAATTTCTTTAGGTCAAAAGTCTGTTTTGTTTTTTTCAGTTGTGCTCCATTGAGGTGACCTGTGAGTCAGCAAGTGTCATGGCTGCCACATTGGCCAATGGAGGTATTTGTCCGATCACAGGTGAGCTTGTGCTGAGCGATGAAGCAGTGCGCAACACCCTGAGTCTCATGCATTCCTGTGGCATGTACGACTTCTCCGGACAGTTTGCTTTCCATGTGAGTAACCCAGAAGTCAACAGTCTGTGTAAAGTGTGTTAGCCAGTCATGAAGTGTTGAAGCCCGACCGCTGACATTTCTTTTGCTCCCCGTTTAGGTGGGCTTGCCTGCTAAATCTGGTGTTTCAGGTGCTGTACTGCTGGTGGTCCCCAACGTCATGGGTATGATATGTTGGTCCCCACCGTTAGATCGGCTTGGGAACAGCGTACGTGGTATTCACTTCTGTCAGGTATGCAGTCACCATCATAGTTGTGTCACTTTGCCTTTATCTTCTATTTGCTTCAAATATTCCATCTTACTCATCGTCTGATTACCTAGGAGTTGGTGTCTTACTTTAACTTCCACAATTATGACAACCTGAGGCACTTCACTAAGAAACACGACCCAAGAAGAAGGTCGGATGATGATCCAGTGAGTTAGATGCTCAGATGAAACACAGCTGGGGGGTGATAATGCAGAAACATTTTTATGCGAAATGATTTTTAAAACTGATCACTGTCATACAGTAAGTTTTCCTTTTGATCCTTTAGAACAAGTCAGTGGTCAGCCTGATGTTTGCAGCCTACAGTGGTGACGTGTCTGCTCTGAGGAGGTCGGTAACAACAGAAACCAGAACAAGGGACAACATTTGATAATGATGCAATCTAAAAGGAACAGTTTGACATTTTGGGAAATTGGCGTATTTGCTTACATTAATCACATGGTAGTGATCTCCTCATCTAACTCCTGGCAAGAATATGAACAAGTATATTTCCTTGAACTATTCCTTTAGGAGCTCAGTCATTACTTTTCAAAACATATCTGCTTTCATATTAACAAGGTGTTTATTCGTGTTTTTGCAGGAGGTACTCCCCAGTTTCTGACAGTTTACCTCACTTGAATTAACCTTTCCATGTATACTCCCCTTCCTCTCCTCTGCTCCTTTGTTGATCCCTCCAGGTTTGCCCTTTCAGCTGTGAACATGGACCAGACAGACTACGACTCTCGCACAGCGCTCCACGTTGCTGCTGCTGAAGGTGAAACCTCATTATAAGTTAATCCATTCTGCAGTAACCTCAGCTCTGATATTCACCTAAGAGCAAATGAAGTATGACATTTGCATTGCTATGTTTTGGGCTGGTCTGGAAGTTTGATCACCTGGAGAAGGATGACTTGCCTGTTCTTGCTTTGATGATGAATTCATCACTTGTTTTCTTTCAGGTCATGTAGAAACTGTAATCTTCCTGACTCAAGTATGTAAAGTGAATCCACACATGAAAGACAGGTATGGATTTTAAACATAAACTCGTTTATCTGGTATTGGATTAAACATGGTAGAAAATGTGTCCATCTCCTTATTACTAACTGTAACAAGCCACTGTCATTTTACACTATCAGATGGGGGAACACACCCCTAGATGACGCCATGCAGTTTGGCCATGGTGCTATTGTTTCAGTCCTGCAAGAGTACCAGAGTGTATACCACGACAGCAACTCGGCATGTGACACAGAGGAGCAGAAGACCACAATGGATAACTTGAAGAGCATTGTTTAAACCACGAGGAGTTGTAAGGGTTTGTAATTTCATTATGTACCTGAGGACTGAAAGGCTGAATGAAAGAAGTGATGAATGTTTTTATCTTAATTAATGTTGTATAACAATAACATGGGGATAATTTTTATAGCTTTAAAAGCTACAGAGCGCAGGATTAAATTCCCTTCAATGCATCTCTGTAGACTTATGGTTTGGTCACCAGTATAAGGAATCAAAAAAGCATTATATAAAAAGGCAATGTGTTGCTTATGTGGAGAAAAATGATATGAATTTAGGCCATGATTTAGCAACATTAACTGTTTCACTGCTTAGCATCTGGTAGAAAATGCCACCAAGATGTAAATATCTAATATATTTAGCTTATTTATTTTTTTAATATTTAAATGTATTCACCAGTACATAATTTAATATATACCTGTATAAATATTCCTAAAGCTGCTTTATTGATTATTTAACCTTAGCAGGTGATTCAGTTGCATTTTTGCCTTTAATGCTGGAAGAACTGTTTCATTGGAGTTGTTGTTATGAACCGCTGATACCTTGTGTTGATGTGGTTGTTTTTGGTCTTTTTGGAGGAATTACTCTTGCTTCATTAATGTGAGCTTTTTAAAAATGTGTTAACTGTGCGTCAGAGAAACATCTGCGACTCTCAGGGGGCAATGCAGGGAACAAGGCACATTTGCTTTACTCTAGCACAAAATCTGTAGGCAAATTAGTTTGTGCAAATGAGTTTTGCAAACTAGGCACACAGTTGTTGTTAGTGTTACTTTTTCACATAAGGGAAATTCATCTCATCACATTATATTCAGTTTTGTGATTTAAACAGTGAAGTGATTCCTCAGCATGACTTATTAACTTTAATCTGTCACTGTAAATATGTATCATCGTGCTGTAAATAAAAATGTACACAGTTTCAGTGAAGTTATTTATTAAATGAGATAAACAGTATGAATATAAAACTGAAAAAGCTTTTTAACTGCCAGAACACATAGTGTAAAAAAAAGGCAGTTCTTCTCATAAAAAGGAGCCAGACTTGCTTTTCACTTTAGTCAGTCTGAGATGTAATACATGATACACGCAAAAACAGCTTCTGTGGTACGACAGCCTGACGCTGGATGACAAAGTAAAAACTCGTGTTGTTATGAATCAGGATTGTGAACCAACTGGAAAGAAAATTAACCGTCACCTGTGGTTAAGGTGTAAGTGGTTCCAAAGGAAGATATTGCTTTCTTTCCTGCAGTGAAAAGATCATTCTTGTTTATTTCAACCTGGCATATTTGCCATAAATGAGTAAACGCTTAAACCCGATGTTGAGCAGTAGGCAGAGGCAGACTGATTGCTGACAATGTGGCACATTATTATACTAATAATTTTCCACAGAAAAAAAAAAACAAAACAAAAAAACAGGCATACAGTCTTTTATCTTGATGTGCCTGTAGATCAGTGAGTTTTTCCAGCAGCACATCTGGCAGATGCCCAGTGTTTAGGGTAAAGACATGGCTTATCATGCATGCTAATGTTACATATACACACCAGTGCATTCCAGATGTGTGGCTAGCTAACAGCATGACAGTGTTACTTTTTCATGCTAATGCACTTTTAAGCTTAACCCCTGCTGTCACTTAATACATCGGTCATTTCTCTCTACCTGTGGAGCTAGCGTTGTGTATATCCTAATTTAGCATTAACTGCTGCTAGCTGCCTTTTCTCACTTTTCTTTGTGTATCAAAGACGACTTGTATGCAATGCAAGGATGTGCATATAAAACTGCATACACATTCATCTCTCAATAGTAAAGATGTCCAAAGCTGCTTTATTAAATAGTGAAAATGTCCACATACAAGCTCTCATTGGAAATGTGTTAACGACCTCAATGCGGCACATGCACCCTTGAATGTTTGTAAACGAGAAACCCGTCTATATGGTGCCAACTTTACACTCGCCACATCCCATTGCAGAGATTCAGGGAAACGAGGCCTCATGCAAATCTCTACAGCGGAGGTGGTGAGGGTCAAGTCAGCACAAACCTCAGACCCATAATAGTTACACTTATGGGATATATGTCAAGTTGAAATAAACCAGAATTATCCTTTAAAATAATACTTTGATCATTTCTGCCATGGTACTATGACGGACCGCTGCCTGTCACCACCATCACAGTTCCTCCTGCTTCAGGCCTTCAGGTTCCTCCAGATCAGAGTGTGTGAGCAGCTCCCCATCCCAAAGTCCAAACGCAGGGCAGAGGGGAGCTTTGAACTGAGCACCGATGGTGTGAATGATCCTGGGCTTCTCGATGTCCACCAACCCCAGGAAACCTGCTTCATAGTCAAGAAGGATGCCTACGCGGTCCGGCTTACCCACCAGCATCACGGGAACTACCTTATTGCCGGTCATGGCAAACCACTTGCGCTGAGCGTATCCGAACACCCAGGAGGAGCTGTTGGTGCCCACACAGTCGTCTCGGGACATCAGCGCTTCGGCCACACCCAGACGAAATTCTTGAGACTTTTTGACCGTCACCTCCCAATAGTGTCGTCCACTGCTTATCTTCTCATCGGCAAATACGACGGCCCAGTCTCGGAAACGCTCGGGGTTGTCTTGCACGTGGGTGGGGTCCAGGCCCAGCATGCGGTAGATGACGCCAGTGTCTTTCTTGAAGAGGTCCAAACTACTGTGAGCCGTTTGCTCATCGAGCCTGAACTGCAGATCTGTAGAGATGAATTAAAAATAAAAATAGAAAATTATCTTTCCATGATACTTAATATGTAATAACAGTCATCATTACTGTTATGTCCACCTGTGCTTTTCCTGTTGTGACAACTCAAAATGTCTCTGAATCAGATTTGTTTAGGATTGACAAAGACAAGAGTGCAATAATGGCTAGGTGATCAAATCTAGTAAAACAACATGTCAGTTCCAAGATGGACAGAAACACGTTAATCAAACCCAATTAGTGAAGAAGCCGACCTTCCTCTCGAGTTAATAGTTATGTACAGCAGGAAAGCACTGCGTCCTTCGTGAAAACTCAGTAAATGTTCAAGTTTAAGTGAAACCTTTTATTTGCACAACAGAAACTAATGGGACACATTATTGTCATGTCAGTGCATGTCAGTGTCCCAGTTGATAACAAATCCCACTCAACCAGAAATTTACACCTCAGATTGTTAAAAAAACAAACAAAAAACTAAGAAACATCAAAAGAGCTTTATAATTTGAACTCAATGGATGAATGTTGATGAGGACCCATGTAGTCCCAGTTGATAACAAATCCCACTCAGTGGATGAATGTTGATGAGGGCCCATGTAAAGAAAAATAAAAAAGCCACTTTTGAACTGGACAAACTATAAAGTAAAAGTAGCCAATAAATGTCAAACTTTATCTCAACATACAATATAATCCAATGCAATACATCAACATTGGCTTTAGAGAGTATTATAGCTGCACTGGGTGGCTATATTAATCTAATTCAAACCCACATACTCGCATAGTAAATGACATCTGACCCAGTGATGGCCCATGTAGGCCACTTCCACTTGACCATAACATACTGTGGTGTACAACATGGAACAGTGGTCCGAATCAGGCTGCCAGAACAGGACCACATATGGGCCGTAATGTAGCCATGCCTGAGCCAGTCAAACGACCACAGTTGGCCCTGACCTGGTATAAATCACCTCTGAGCTCTGGCATCTGGGCCACATCACTGTGCTATGTGGACCCTCTGGGAAGACACGGAAAAACCGTGTAATGTACAGTAAGTTGCAGGTTCGCTTTGACAGTGTAGAATACAGTTGTTTAGAACGATTTATCGACGTATGCGGTGTTTTAAACAGGCATCGACAAAGTCACCTTAAGTTTTATGAAAGATTAACTCACTGGTCCGTGTAGAAGTGAATATGTAGCATCTCGTCGCTGGCAGACTGACAGCTCGCCTGGATCTGGCTGACAGGGAGGTGACGGTCCGTCCTGCCAGATGACAGAGACGACCTGCAGTAACTAGTACCGCCATATTGCTTCGCCTCCTCCTTCTTCTTCTCTAGTGAATTACGGCAGTTGGCATACTAGTGTTGCATTACTGCCATCTCGTGTCCCTATCCTGCATCACCGTCCCATTAACCTAAATTCTAGAAAAACACCTCTCTTCCTCTTCCACTCGTTCCAAATTCTAATATACTTTTAAAACTTGTATCTACTAACCCTAATTTATGAAACTAAGTAAATATATCTACCCTTTCCCCTGAATATCTCCTGCACTAAATGAGTGTTTTCCTTCTTTTGCTGCTTCCGTTGATACAGTTCAGGTCCTCTACACAACCTTGGTTTATAATTTCTGATGCAATATTGCATTCAGCACATTTAATATTGCAGCTGGTAAAGGTGGAGATCATTTTAACTACCTTATATACTTTGGATTATTGTTGGGTAGTTTGTGAATTTCCCACCAGGGATCAATAAAGTCTTATGATCATACGTGGTTTTGTACAGTAGTTATTCTGATAATGAATTAAACATCAAATAAATGTATAGGAGTAAAAAGTACATTCTTTGCCTTGAAGTAAGTAGCAGAAAAAGGAAATACTAAAATAAAGTACAGTACAGTACTTTAGTAAATGTACTTTCTTCCTTTTCACCACTGACTGTTATTTTACAGCAGCAGTATAAGATATTCAGACCATGAGTAAAGATAAAAAAATACGAGTAAATGACTTGGTTACACTGCACTGCTGGCCTGTACAGAAACATCTTTCATCTAACACAGTGTAACACTTTTTGGAAAACTTTCATTAAGATCCATAAATATATCAAACTTACCACACATTTCTGCATTAAGTATAGCTGTTTATGCTGATCTGAGAAGAACAGCCTCTGGGCACAGTGGCGAATGTAGTAGGACTTTTAATGATATAACAAATTATGATATTTCCCTTATGTTGATGCATTTAAGGTGGATAATGCATCTTTCACAACAAGTCATAAATAATATGTCATATTAACAAAGCTTGATTCAGCCTTGCACAGCCAGATCCATTTTTCATGCCAGTATCCAGCTGGGGACTAAATGTCATTGTTTATTCATGCTCCACTCTAAACATGGCAAATACAGTCTCATTATTTTCCTTTATGTTGCCTGGTCGTGACTTTGTTTCATTCAGGCACCCTTACCCCTTCCCACTTCTGATATACCTGTAGAGTTCATAAGTTTATTAACTCAAATGTCTTTCTCTCGTTCTCAAGGTTGAGTCTGAGTTGCTCTTTATGACACTTTCATAGAAGCATACGACACCATACATTACTCTTAATGAAAGATAAACAACTTGCTTCAAGAATTATTCAAATCTGAGATGAAATGAGTAGTTAGTAAAGCAAAAATATTATGTGGTTCCGGCATCTCAAATCCAAATCCATTTATACTGCTTGTCTTGTAGAGGGCTGCAGAGTGTAGGACTAAATATGTTTGTTTAGTTTGGAGGACTGGTTAAAAATGCATCTGTTCTCTTAGTGCTGTTACACTTGCATGATTGTCACTTTGTGCATGCAGTTTCTTCTGCTATACGTTACCGTCTATCCATCTTTCTCTTAGGGATGCTTTTCAATCATGGCATTTTTTAATTCCCCACAGGAGAAACTGGTAGTAATACCTACTACGTGCCTCACTGCAAGTCTCCAAAAGACTCCCTCTCTCTATCTTTTACTGGGGCTGCGGTCACGTGTTTAGGTGTGAAACTACGTTAAGTCACAGGTGAACAGCAGCGTTAGTCCACTCCTGTCCTCTGCCAGACGCAAACAACGGGAGGAAGAAACCTCACGATTCATCACAGACCAATAATCAGCCGTCTGAGTTTTGAAACATGTTTTCAAAACCCTGGGTAGAGAAATATTTCTTGATCTGACCCAAGAATCTGAAATGGACATGCGTGCAGCGGAGCAAGAGAGGAACTCTTAATAAATGCGGTGAAGTGTCAGAAGGATTTCTTTCTCTTTACGGTCTCCGGCTTGTCTTTTGTTGCTGTGCAGGGACGACGCGTGATGCACTGGACTTAATATCGACCAGCGAATTCGCAGGCTAATGAAACACTTTGTCATTCCGTTTCTTTCTTTGCGTTTCTGTAACCCTGTGAGAAAGCAGCAAAACATCACTGTAGTGCAGTGGCGATGGACCTTCGCTTCCAGATCCTGGCTATGCATGCTTTTGAGTCACCCCCCATTTGCGTGCCTGCTTTTGTGAAATGCGTTACTTATGAATATATGTCCTGCTTGTCTGACTTTTTAAAAGAGATGCGGATGCTCAGAATGTTTTTCAGTCGGTGTGCATGAGAGATGGCGTCCAAACCGCCCCAAGTCCAACAGTCTTTATATGCACATTTGACCTGTTCGGATGGATAATGGCAGTTTACTCCACAGGTGAATGAATATCGGCTCAGCTTATATTAATAGGTTGTATTCTGAAGCTATTTTCTAATTAGACTGATCTTCACGCACACTGACAATGGATCTCAAAGTGGAAGCCGAAGAAACTGACTCAAATCAGCCTCCACCCATAGAAGTTTTTGCGCACAGCTCCAGCTTGCACGGAATCTCTCACATCTTCACGTACGAGCGGTTCTGCATCAAACGCTGCCTGTGGATCCTGTTTTTCTTGAGCTCCCTGACCTTCCTGTTGTACGTGTGCGTGGACCGGATCCACTTCTACCTCGAGTACCCGCACGTCACCAAACTGGACGAGGTCACGACCCCAATCATGACGTTCCCAGCGGTCACTTTTTGCAACCTGAACGCGTTCAGGTTCAGCCGGGTGACGCGCAATGACCTGTACCACGCAGGGGAGCTGCTGGCCCTGCTCAACCAGAGGTAACACACAGACTAAAAAGTGGAAGATGAAGCCCAGAATTTATTCATCCAGTATTTTATATAAAATTCTAATATTAAATCAATTCTTCACCCTTTTACTTTTTCAGTGTCAATTAATTAGTTAGGAATGGTGAGGAACATAACTAACTGTGTTTACTCCACCTCTGCACCTGGAGTACTTGTACTAATTGGAATATTTCCATTTTATACCACTGCAGATTAAGATTTAAATACAAAACTTAGTTTTATAAAATACAATACATTATTATATACAGAACTATATCTCAAAAGCATAGCTCCACTTTGACCAGCTACAGCTGTAAAATACAACTTACACACGTGTGTAGTCAAAATGTATCATTTAAGTACATTTTGTTAATAAAACATGCTTTTATGTAATGTTTTCAGTAGGGGTATCTTACATTTAATGTTGTGCTTTTACAATGTGACATTACTTTTACTTATGTAAAGGACCTGATAATTGTGTCTTACTCGTCCAACAAGCTCCAATAGTTTCTACCTTGTCGAGTCATGCAGCATTTGGAGAGCAGGCTTGTTAGGCTTGAATTAACTGAGGCAGTATATTCAGGAAACTCCAGCTGTCTTTGGCTCTGGATACCGGAGCTGCTGGTGGTATGTACAGTATGCACAGGAGGAGAAGATGTGGAGAGTCTGCTCCCTTTGATTACAAGTGAAATGGCAGATGCTCTGGGTATTCTGTCATTTATACATTTAAATCCTCATGTCTCTGAAACCTCAGCAGAGCAGCAGAACTACACTCCTGCGCATTAGCTTCACTTGTCTCTCAGCTCTCAAACATTTTACTTTTCTGGTAGTTGCCATACTAAAAAGTGAACAGTTCTGAATAACACTGTTTTAGTGATTTAAGATCATGCAGAGGGAAAGAAAACAGATCTCACAGAGAAACAGAAAGACCGCGACTGATCTTGGCTTTGGAAACAGTTTAGCAAACATGTTGCTGTCCTTGTCATGTTACAGTATTGTTCAAAATGTCAACACAGGCAGCAATAATGAGAGAATCGGCATTCTTCACATTTAGTGCTGGACATTGTCTTCTCAATGATAAAAAATAAGAAGTAAAAACTCAAATCATGTGAACGTCTGACCGGCTGTCAGTTAAAGAGATCAAGGACAGGATTCAGCATACAGTGTTACAGACCTCTGGGGTTTCATTTTTATGTGTGTTTCCTAAATCTTTAATGAAGTTCCCATACTGAGCAAATTAGCATTTTCTTGCTCCTAACATTAAGACTTGCAAAGTTGGAGACCAAAGCAGGAAGGATTCCAAGTTTCTTTGACCATGTACCTATCTCTGCTCTTAGAAGTGGGTTTAGTTCTCATTATCCTGACTCCCTTGGCAAGGTAGAGTGGCGATGCAATGGCACACTTAGCAGTTATACCCCCCAGCCAGAAATGAAAGTGCTTGTGGCATGAAATCCATTTAAGGCTGTTCTCTGCCCACTTCTTAATGTTTGGAGTCACTGGTCTGGGAAATGTATTGTGGCATGATATTTAAGCTGCACACATGCTGAAGTGTCAGCCTCTGCCTATCTTGTCGGCTCATGCTTGCGGGATTTTATCTCATAAGTGCCTTTTTGGCAAGTTTGTCAACTACACAAGCAGTAATGAGTGAGTGCCCTTCCTTGACTAAGTTCTCTTTCAAGTTTCAAGATTCCCTTATTGTCATTGTATAATGCATACAACAAAAATCAAGTGCACTCATGTTGTAGACCTTTTTTTTTTTTTTTTTATCAGTTGCAGAGCTGCTCCCATACCATACCAGAATCCTGTATGTTAGGATGCTCAGAGTGCAGCAGCGGTAGAAGGATACTAGCAGATGATATGACAGATTCTTTTCTAAGAGTCCTCACAAAGAGGAGTCTCTGTTGTGTCTTCTTAACCAGGATGCTTGTATTGGTTGTCCACGTGAGATGTGTGTACCCAGTGTTTCAATGAAACACTCCCTGCCTCTGCCATAATGGGGCTTAGCTCAATTGTAATGTGACAATAAAATCTATGTGCTCATTTTTACACATGAATGAAGCTAGTTATTATTGCTTTAGTGTTGGGAAGATTTCGGGTAGTGTTAAATGGCCCTTTATGAAAATAGAAAAACAAAAGGATTACTGCACCTTGTTCTAAGTTTTCAAAGAAATTTAATAGTGTAATATGTAACTATGATGCTGCAATTATATATCATACTTTACCAGCTCTTGTTTAAACAAAGTTAGCTCATTCTTGGTAATGCATAAAACACATGGGGGTTTCTTAATAGTATGTTGCACAAAAGATCGATTAATGGAACAGTGATGACATTCATATGAGAAATTTCAGAAAGGTCTTTTATTTGAGGCAGTGCTCAGGACAAAACTCCAAGCAATCTGCTCTTTGGTGAGTCCATTAAAATGGTGACATTTTTAATAATAGCATAGTGGGAGATCACAGCAAGGGTAGCGAGCAGGTGCATTTACAGCCGTTCTGCTCTATTTTAATACAAGGTAGCGTGGTCAGAATTTTGTGCACTCCATTAAATGAAAGGAAATTTCCCAGTGTCACTGATAATGTTGCGTGGGGTGTGGGCTGTCTGACACCCTGCTTAGTTAGATGCAGGCATTCATTGTCAATGTAGTTCTGTGGCTCATGATACAGGTAAAAGGAAATATCACAGAAATGCAACTAAATACCAAAGTATATAAAAAAATAATTTGTTGTTTCTTACACAAGATGTTACCATTGAAGAAAGTCATGGAGAATGTGTCTTTAGGGCTGAGGATATACTGAAACATGAGGAGTTCATTTCATTACACAGTCTAATATGTTTAGTACACTGCATCACGTCAGTGGCTTTGCTGTAAGACCAGAAAAACGACAACTTTAAAGTTTCATTATTATAATATGACAAATATGGACTCTCCAGCTCATAAGTACACACATGCATGCACATGAAACACACATAGTGTATTAAATATGGACACAAATATTAAACAGCATATTGCTTATTGTGAATTTCTAATTATACACAAGAAAGAAACATTTTTAAGCTTGAATGAGGTTATTATAAAGCCATGTCTGCTCTTCTAACGTGCTCCCAATAATATTGCCGTCATGCTGATTTGTTGCCGTCACGTCGCGTTGAATCTTGGGTAAATGTGCCATTTTGGCGGGATCAAGCTCATTATCCATTATAGAGATCTACTGTACATTACATACATCTATATGTTGATTACAAAAATAAATACTATCCCATACAGTTGAATGGGTGAAATACCTGAAAAAGTACCAGCTTCACCAGTTCCACTTAAAACTATATAACAAAATAACCAGGAAGAGAAAGAAAGAACCACAAAAAAGGATTAACATTCATCAGGCAAGGTCGGAGACCTGTGTAACTGTAACTTAGGTACATGCTGGTTTCCAAAGATGGAATTTCAGGATTTAAAAGGAATGAGGTTGCTGTTTTTCTGCTGGATGGGTGGGTAAATTGTTTGCTATGAAAGTCCATTATGGTCAGTATGATGTTGTCCAATTAGACAGGCTAAGCTTTGTGGTAATGTTGGCAAATAGCAATGTCACATTAGCCTGTTTGTTGAATCAATTTTTGCTCAGACATTCAGCTAAATTAAATGTATGTGGTTGTCCTCACTTCAGTTATAGCAGCTGGAGATTGCTGTGAGAAAATAACACTGGAGTCTGCGGAGCAGAGGGAGACTGAATAAAACACTGCTTTCCACAAACCTTATGACATACAGGAACCACACGTGTAACCATAGTAACTGTACACAGAGATGAAGAAGATATAGTATACAGGAAGCAAAATATTACCAATGATGAAAACTAGGCTAACATGTCTAGTTTTCATTGACTAAAAGACAAACATTTCCCAAACACTAAGATGCATTTTCATCAAAAGACTGAAACAAAATCAAGTTCAGCTGTCAAAACAAACACTGGTGCTGACTCACCACTTTGTTCTTAACGAGATGCAGCTGCCTGCTAATTAGAGTTTCTGTAGCTCAGTCCATTAGCAGGTACTCGCATTTCTGGGAACACTGGATCAAATTTTCTAATTGGCACATATTTTCAAAGTACTGGACAACGTTTGACCTGATAAAGGCACTGCATGAAAAGTCGGGCTTGTCAAAGCTATTCCAGTTCATCCTGTGGGAAACAAGAAGGTCTGAACCAACTGTCTTTGACAATCAATCCAACAGGTCTTGAGACATTCATGGTGGTTTTAGGGAACAAGTCATTAGCCAAGTCATAGATGTTAAGATATTTCATAGGATAAATGAAAACTTTAACCTGTTGGTGGCACTAGATGAAAAGCCAACAAATCACTGACACACTTAGGGCTTTTTCCTGTTGGGCTCTGAAAGTCTGTCAAACATTTCATACAAATCTGTCAATTAGCTGTTAAGATGTTTCTGCCTGGACCAAAGTGGTGAGACTGACAGTGCCACCGTCCTTGGACCCACATTAAAAAAACTCTGATACTCATAAAAACTAACCACTTGAAGAAGGATGTTTAATTATGCATGTTCTTACTTATTTTATTTGGGACACGGCTCAAAGCAAATTCTGCCATTTATTAATGGCAGTGACTCTTGTGTTGGACAAGCTCACAGGAAGTGTTCGCAGGCTTTCACAAAATTAACGAGCAGAGAAGTCAGAAGTAACATGATTACTATTAAAAAACATCCTTCCTCTTCATGTAATTTTGCTTTGCCCTTTAATATTTTAGTCAGGCTTAATTTTATTAGTGAAGAGCCAGCAGTTTAACATAGTATACTCATGGTCAAGATAACCCTATGAACATAAACACAAACATATTCTCCAAGTTTGAATCCAGGTACGTGAGATTTGAGTTAAAGTTCTGTGCAGCCTGAAGCTGCAGCACTGACGATGAATGGACCACTGGCTTTATGGCCTCCATACAGCTTTTGTCTGGACTTTATTATATACTGTACAATAAAACGTTACACTCTGGTAGTGCTATCACTTCCCAGCCAGAAAATGTCACAGGAAAACCATCCTGTACATCTTCACTGTTGGTTTTCTGTCCCTTTAAATCCATTCTGCACTGCAGTATTTTTAGCTGTGGATGAACCAAGCGAAGGTTCACTGATAAAGACTCATAAACCTTCTTGAAGTGTGTGTGGGGGAAAAAAAAAAGTTTAAAGACTGAAACTAACTTTTTATGAAGTTTGCTTCATCATTAGGCAGTAATTATTTACTGTGAAAATGTTCTCTTCAAGGGGATTTATCAATTCATGCCAAATTACATGCCATACAATTAGCATATAGAAATATATCAAATGTTTGACCTCTCTTTTGTCCCTCCAGATATGAGATCAGGGACGTACACCTTGTGGAGGAGAGTGTTCTGGAGAGCCTGAAGGTCAAAGCCGACTTCCACAATTTCAAGCCACGACCTTTCAACATGCGGGAATTTTATGACCGGACCGGTCACGACATAAATGACATGTTGCTGTCCTGCCATTTCCAGGGGACCGAGTGCAGAGCGGAGGACTTCAGAGTGGTAAGTCATCACCACACAAGATTTGGGTCATGATTAAAGTTTAGACATGGTCATTGCAAAGGGGGGCGGGGCAGGGTTACGGTGGTGCAGTGCATGCCCATGGTGTATTGTGTCCTCTTAGTCCATTCCCAAAATTTATTTTCAAATGAGCTGCATCCATTGCAACGTTTGATGCCTGCATGTAAGGCACAGCTGGTCCTAAGGAGTCGTGACTATGCGTGCTGTGCCTGCTGCAGCAACCCCACCCCCAGGTTGCTAAGGTGTCTTATTATTACTGTCTTGATGCAGCCTACTCTCCTGGTCCATATAACACTAAATATTCTTTGTTGTAATTGAAGTGAGCAGCACCCTTCCTGTAATATTTTGTATTTCATCTTATAGTAATCTGCTGTGGCAGAGAGGTTTGGACTGGATTCAGAGCCTCTCTAGCAGGGACAATATGAGTATCAAATCCAGTTTATCAGCAAGTTTCAAATCCAGCTTTGAATTAACCAACAGCAGCACTTAAAGAGTGTGTTTTTGTCATGAGTGATGACTCTGCGCTGTCAGTGAGTGTAGTTTTCTTGAGTTATCTTCTTCTTATCTGGGCTGTTTGTCTACTGTCATTGTGTTTCACTAACAAAACGCCATGTGGTGCTGTAAATATGATTTACTTTGTTGCAAACGCATTATGAATTCCTTTTGCACAAACGTGTCGACCTAGCTGTAATGCGGTAGTTATAGTTAAATTACTGCATAAAGTGGTTTCACTAGAATATCACACAAAAAATGTGAACATTGCATAACTATTGGGAAGCAGTGGATGCAGCAGCCTCTCAGAAAACTGTAAATTACTAGAGCGGCCTTTTTTGGAAGTATCCGGCTAATTTACAGCTAAACACCAGCTGTTTTTTTTCTGGAAAGTTATGAGGAAAGCTCTGGGGAAATAGCTGGAATATATATGACCTGTAGAATAAGGTGCTGCCAAACTAGTCTAACAAATGTGCTGTTTGAGTAGGTTTGAGGTTCGATTAAAAAAAATTACACTGCCTGCTGTTTTAGCTTTTTACCTATATTTTTGCCCTGTTTTAAGTTGTGTTGCGAGTGCCACAGACAGGAAAGATAGAAACTAGTAATACTGTGATTAACACATTAGTAATTTTGGTCTTAACAGTGGATTTTTTAAATTTATTTATTTTACAAAAGAAAAATATAAAGTATTGCCATTTGGTGTTTGAGGATAATAAGAGTGCAGACTGAATGCAGTGTAAAAAAAATAAATAGGATTATTTATTTACAGTGGGATAAAGAATAATGACCCTCCACAGCAAAGAAAGAGTGAGTGAACTGAGCATGGTCCCTGATAAATACACAATAACAATTATTCACAGGGCAAAGGCAGAGTTACACACGGTTGATTAATCTTTTTCTTGTTTTGTAATGATCACATACTGCGGTCATGGTGATGCAGTGATGGTCACGTGTGTGTTGATATTCTGTGTATAAAATATTTATATCAAATCTGTGCTGACCGACCCTCGTTGTTTTTTATGATCAGATACTTTTATGAGTTCTTTATTTATGAAATCCAGTGGCTCTGTGTAAATATTTACATCTGCCTCTTCATTTTTTTAGTCTTATCATTTTCTACTTCAATACAAGGGACAGATGGCATTGCATAACAAGGGCTTTTGATATTGAAGAGATATGGAATAATGCAGCACAGCTGGTCAAAGAAATGTGTTTAAACAGTCCTCTGACATTATAGAAGTGCAAGTGACTGATGCACATATACGTTTTCCCTGCAGCAAAAGCGGAGCTCCCTGGCTGTAATGTCTCTGTAATAAAACACTGCTGTTGCTGCTGGCGTGCCCAGACACTATTGGCAATAGTCACTGGCATCAGACGTGGTTTTTAATTTGGAGCTGATCATTGATCATTCCACGCAGCAGGCTTAGTGAATAGATTGAATAGAGTTTTATGGCATCTTTCTTTCCCAACAAGATTCTTGTTGTGTCAAGTATGTCAACTGTGCAGTATCATGTTTCTTTGTTGATTGTTTTAACCATAATTTAAACCAGAAGAGATAACTAGGAGCAGCTTGTATATGTTAGACTAAGATTTCTTTTTGGTGGAGAACAATACACATTTATACTCTCGCTCTGCATGTTGCCACTTAGTGGCACTGAAGTAGTTCTGAAGTGATATTTTTACAATTTTACTATTTTTCCCAACATGCCAGTGAAAGATAAACTGCTACACACCTGTTTTATGTCCCTGCATGTTGTTACAAGCGGTGACATTAGTGTAGGGGACCTCACTTATCAGCAGGCACTTGGATCTATTTTGATTTCTTTACAGTGGTTCCTTTTGTATTTGACAGTAGATGGTGATGATGTAGACGGGAAACAAGGGGTGAGACGGGGGTATGACTATGGATGTATTATGAGAGTTGGATACGGCATCATTGTCTCACTGCTTCTTGAGTCTGATCCCAGTGAGATATGATGTATAGGGTAGTGGGTGATTGTAGACTAGGACTAGGGGCCAGCTTCACATACATAACATACTTTAGACTGGCCTGTAGTGCATATTGTATCAAAACCACTCTACCTCAAAGGAATGTGCTTCCAAATTGCTTACAATGTTCATATTTAATATTTTTGCACTTGTGTTTTATACTGGTTTCTCTGGTTTTACTTTTTGGACTGTTTTGCACTTGTTTTTGTTTCTTTCTAAGCCCCTATGTTGTCATTCTGAAGCTTATGTTGACTGCTCTGTTTTGCACTACTTAAATGTTAATTGTAGCACCAGTTGCCACAGCAATAAAATTTCATCACCACTGTGTACCAGTATATGAATTGGTTAACAAAGTTCTCTTGAGTCTTGTGTTAATTTTACGAGCATGATCTTTCAGTTTGCGAACATGATTGATTTGTGAACTTGATTTCATGTGGAAATTTTATAATGCTTTCTCTCAAAGCCCCGTCCTCACATTCAAATTCTACCTGCCCGCAACAGATTTGCTTTGCTTTGTTTGTGCTCAAAACTCTACATCTGCTCTCATATACTTGCACAGATTTCCTGTGCTTCTGCTGCAACCCTTCTCCTCACATTCAAGCTGCTATTGCTTGCTTGCAAAACCTGTGCTCTCGCTCTTGACCTTGTCAAAATTCCCCAACCAATAGAATGGCAGGTGTGGTGTTGACCAGCAAAATGATCCTTCTCTTTTGGATACTTCTCAGAGTGTCCCATGCGTCCATAAATACATGGCACTAGCCAAACAGTTAGCTGGACACCTTAACTAATATTAACATGTGTTGGGGCAAATAAGAGACCATAGTAACCCCATGGAAATAAACATTAGTAAGGACATTGTCAGTTTTCTTTTGCACAAAAGCTGACAAGAGCATGACTGTCAAGTAGTACTGAGCCCTGTCCCAAAACATCTCAGCTCTCCTCTGCTGTAAAATGTCCTTGTTACCAGTGGATTTTTCCAGAAAGCAATAGTTTTCTGCTGGAGGTGTGACATTGTTGCTTAGTAGCCATAGACTGTGGAATCACACTCTTGCTCAATCATTCATTACTTCCTGTATAACAGACACTCAAAAAGCAGCAAGTCCACACAGGAGTAGCCACAGGTCCACTGGTTAATGGGAACAGGGCAGGACAAAGATTCAGGCAGGTGCAGGTTCAGATTTCAGATTCAAGTTGAGATACAGGGGCTGGAATATAATGGCACAAAGCAGCACTGACAGTGTGATGGGGATGAGGTGGAACTGCCGGGTATAAGTACTGAGGAGGTGATTAGAGAATGAAGAACATGTGAGCAGGCCAGTGTGGGAGGCAGGGAATCTGGTGGTCAGCTAGTGAATGGAAGGGACCAGAAATATCCAGAGAAAAGCAAAAGGCTGCGGGAAGTGATCACATTGTGAGCACAGAAAGTGTACCTGCCACATGCACTACTTTGGTCAATCCACTGTGGAATTTAAATGGTCTGTTCTCCTCAGAACAAACCAGAAGAGAAAGTATGAAATTCCTCAAAAGAACCAGCCCCTTGAACTGAGAACACTGGTTGTGTTCCACATTAATGATGCAGTAGTTGTTGGCCGAGTACACTTCTCCAAAACCCAAACATTACATCATGAGTTTTCTGGTTGTGAGCACAAGCTTCCAAACATTGAATTACTGCTACGTCAGTAATTTTAGCACTGGAATATGAAATGCACACACGTAAATAGCTGTTCAGTGCATGTATGTACTGTATGTGTGGGGGTTTGTAGTTCTAACACCCATTCAAGCGTCGTATCGATCTTTCCATGTTTCCTTCTAATTTGAACAGAATGGATAATTTATAGTAGTTAATTAATGGAGCTCACAAGTCCAGGACTGTTCCACAAACTCCCCCCAGCTCTCTGCCGTGTCTTCTGAGGTATAGTAATTTCTCTCCTCTTTGAAGAGCAGTGGTGTTGAGGAAATTGTATTTGGCCAGAACATAGTGGCAGTAGGTGCTTCCCCTGGAGAGATTTAAGGCCTTTATTGCTTTCCTCTCAACTTCCCTTTGTTATCTACATCACCGAACAGCTTCAGAAGACTGGGAAATGCACTTCCTTTGAAGACGTCTTTGATGCATTGCACTGTTAATTGTTTCTTTGTTTCATTGCAAGTGCTTGATGAATAAGAAAAGAGGCATGTCCCAACTGATTGTCCTTTGTGAAAAGATCAAAAGGGGGAAAAAAAAGAGGCTGATATGAAACTATTTCAGACCGTTTGTGATAAGAATACAGAGAGTACTCAGCTGAACTGACAAGCTGACTTCTTTTTCAGAAATAATTTCATAGCATGCTATATAGAAAACAAAAGAATGATTCTGCAGCTGTGAGGCTTTTCAAACCGACGGTGCATATGGAAAGTTGAGAGTACTTTGTCATCTCCTGTCACAGAAATATAAATGTACCCGTTCATTTTCCAGATCTTCACAGCTAATATTTCCTTTTCAGCCGAGGCAGTATTCAGCAATA